AAGGCTGCCCATTCTCTCCATAGCTCTTCAACATAGTACTTAAGTCCTAGCTAGAGCGATAAGACAACTAAAGGAGATCAAGGGGATACAAATTGGAAAGGAAGAAGTCAAAGTGTCACTATTTGCAGAGGATATGATAGTATACATGAGCAACCCATAAAATTCAACCAGATAACTCCTTCAGCTGATAAACACTTTCAGCAAAGTGGCTGGATACAAAGTTAACTCAAAAAAAAAAAAAAAAATCAGAAGCCCTCCTGTATACCAAAGACAAAAGGCTGAGAAAGAAATTAGGGAAACAACACCTTTCACAATAGCCACTAATAACATAAAGTACCTTGGTGTGGCTCTAACCATGCAAGTGAAAGACCTGTTGGAAAAAAACTTCAAGTCTCTATAGAAAGAAATTGAAGAAGACATCAGCAGATAGAAAGATCTCCCATGCTCATGGATCGGTAGGATTAACATATTGAAAATGGCCATCCTGCTAAAAGCAATGTACAGATTCAATGCAATTCCATCAAAATACCAACACAAATCTTTACAGACCTTGAAAGAAAAACTCTTAACTTCATATGAAAAAAACCCAGAATTGCCAAAACGATCCTGTACAACAACTGATGGTCTGGAGGTATCTCCATCCCTGACCTCAAGCTGTACTACAGAGCAATAGTAATAAACACTGCATGGTACTAGCATAGAAACAAAATGGTAGATCAATGGAATCAAATAGACGACCCAGAAATAAACCCACACACTTACGGATACTTGATTTTTGACAAAGAAGCCAAAATCATATAATGGAAAAAAGACAGCATCTTCAACAAATGGTGCTTGTCTAACTGGATGTCTACATGTAGAAAAATTAAAATAGATCCATACTTATAACCCTGTAAAAAACTAAAGTCCAAGTGGATCAAAGTCCTCAACATAAAACCAGACACACTAAATTGGTTAGAAGAAAAAGTGGGGAAGAGCCTTTAACTCATTGGCACAGGGGACAACTTCCTGAACAGAACACCAACAGCATAGGCTCTAAGAGCAACAATCAATAAATGCGACCTCATGAAACTGAAAAGCTTCTGTAAAGCAAAGGACACTGTCATCAGAACAAAATGAAAGCCTACAGACTGGGAAAGGATCTTCACCAACTCTGTATCTGACAGAAAGCTGATATCCAGAATATATAAAGAACTAAAGAAGTTAAAAAGCAACAAATCAAGTAATCCAATTAAAAAATGGGGTACAGAGATAAACAGAGAATTCTCTGTAGAGGAATATAGAATGGCAGAGAAACACTTAATGAAATGCTCAATGTCCTTAGTAATCAGGGAGAGGCAAATCAAAACAACCTTGAGATTTCGCCTTACGATGACACATGCTGGAGAGGTTGAAGAGAAAGGGGAACCCTCCTCCATCGCTGGTGGGAATGTAAACTTGTACAAGTACTTTGGAAATAAATCTGGCGCTTTCTCAATTAGTAACAGCACTTCCTCAAGAACCAGCTATACTACTCCAAGGCATATATCGAAAATATGCTCAAGTATTCAGATACACAACAAGGACATTTGCTCGACTATGTTCATAGCAGCTTTATTCGTAATAGCCAGAACCTGGAAACAACCCAGATGCCCGTCAAGGGAGGAATGGATATAGAAATTGTGATACATTTGCACAATGGAATACTACTCAGCAATTAAAAACAAGGAAATCATGAAATTTGCAGGCAAATGGTGGGATCATCCTGAGTGAGGTATCCCAGAAGCAGAAAGCCACACACGGTATATACTCACTTATAAGTGGATATTAGACATATAATATAGGACAAACATATTAAAACCTGTACAGCTAAAGAAGCTAAGCAAGAAGGAGGACCCTGGGTATATGATCAATCCTCACTCAGAAAGACAAATGGGATGGATATTGGAAGAAGAAGAAAACAGGAACGAGGACAGGAGCCTACCACAGAGGGCCTCTGAAAGACTACTCAGCAGTGTTTCAAAGCATATGCTGAGACTCATAACCAAACTTTGGGCAGAGTCCAGGGAATAATAGGTAAGAAGGGGGAGATAGTAAGATCTAGAGGGAACAGGAACTCCACAAGGAGAACAACAGAACCAAAAAAAATCTGGGCATGGGGCCTTTTCTGAGACTGATACTCCAACCAAGGACCATTCATGGAGATAACCTAGAACCCCTGCTCAGGTGTAGCCCATGGAAGCTCAGTATCCAAGTGGGTTCCCTAGTAAGGGGAACAGGGACTGTCTCTGATATGAACTCAATGGCTGGCTCTTTGATCACCTCCCCCTGAGTGGGGGGAGCAGCCTTGCCAGGCTACAGAGGAGGACAATGCAGCCAGTCCTGATGAGACCTGATAAGCTAGGGTCAGATGGAAGGGGAGGAGGACCTCCCCTATCAGTGGCCTTCGAGAGGGGCATGGGAGGAGAGGAGGGGAGGGGATTAGGAAGGAATGAGGGAGGGGGTTACAGCTGGGATACAAAATGAATAAACTTTAATTAATACAAAAAATAAAAATTTTAAAATTTTAAAAAAAGAACTGAAAATAGAATTCTGTGATAGATTGCTTGCCTATATAGGCCATGGGTTCTATTTACAGCACTGCCAAAAAAAAAAAAAAAAAAAAAAGCAGTCAAACAAAAAAAATAAAACAAATATAAAATTAGGAAGGGTCTAGAAAGATAGCTCAGAAGCACTGGACATGCACATTGTGTATGTATCTGCATACAGAAAAAAATTCACACTCATAAAACAAAAAATAAAATTTTTGAAAGCTCAGAAATGTGCAACTTTAGAAAGAATTTGTTGTTTGAATATCTGTGAACAAACATATTTGTGAATAAAAAAATAAAATCCTTTTAAAAAGACCATCTTCCATATCCCATATCAGGTTTAACTGTTAAGACGTTTGTTTGTTTCCTGTCTGGTTAGACTTTACATTTTAAAGTGACAAAATCGAATCATACTGTAGGAAATGTAGTTATCATTGATAAATTTTTCTTATTGTTTTCCTAGTAAAAGTATATGTATAGTTGCCTCTTAAGCATTTTTTTTTTAATTGGCTTAACAGAGTTCAAAGCCACAGTTTTGTACTAGAACTCTGCTGAAACTCTGTGTTTGCTTAAAGAAACACTTCTAATTCTGTAAACACACAACAACAAACTATTTAGGTTCTACGAAAAGGGAAAAATCAATGACTAAAAGTCAAAAAAAAAAAAAAAGGAAAAAAGTAATATAGAATAGTTTGTATCACCACCTCCCTTTCCAGATGTCACCTTTTGAAATTATATATCTCAGGGAAGCATTTAAGAAGCCCATTGGGCTGGACATGCAAACATGCCTTCTAATGCCAAGAGGGTCATATTCCCTCAAGTCTGTGCTACATAGCAAGTTCAGTGCCTGCTGGGCCACAACGGTAGCCCCTGTTTTGAAAAATAAAGTCAATGATTTAGTGCTTGTTGATTGTACTTTTAAGGTCCAGTTGTCTAAGAATATGTCTTAAGCAGTCACGTTCCTGGCAATGGCTTGGGCAACACAAGGGACCCTTGACTCATAGTGTCAGGTCCTGGAGGATGACCCAAGTCATTCAGTCTCTTTGCTTCAGTTCCTAGGTTTGTATCAGAAGTCTTGAAGGTGCTGCCAGATCCGACAGCCAGGAATCCTAGGCTCATTCAGTCCCTTGAGACAACTGCACACAGCTTGGGCATAGCACTCTTGCTGGTCTGTGTCCCCTGCATCTGTGTCAGCTTTTGGGTTTTTCCAACGTTTTCCTGTCCCCTTTCCTATACAACAGAAGGCGTCAGGCCTTAGCTGTTGAATGTTGTTCCCTAACTGGGGAGATCACTGGGAAGAGGACCAGGGAGGAAAATCCATGAAAAGATCATTCAAGAGGTAGGAGAAAGAAGTGAGGAAGGATCCTGTGATTCAAAGACACAGGAGCCTCGGAGATGGCTAAGTGGGTAAAAGAGATACTGTATGGACTTAGTTCAAATCCTTGGTACCCACCTAACAAAGCCAGGAGCGGCTGTTCCTGCTGGCAGCCCCAGCGCTGGTGGGAGTAGGAGGATAAGAGGATCACTGGGGCTTGGCTGGCCCATCTAGATCCAGGCTCAATGAAATACCCTGTCTCAAGGGAATAGCATGGAGAGTGCCATGGGGCGTGATAGTGCAGGACAGCAGGCACCCTGCTCTGGCTGCTGCACATACTTGAAAGGGTCATGATAGCCAGTCTTTGCTACTTTGTGGGTTCTTCTTTTTCCCACCCTTCATTCCCCCAGTTTCACCTCTTAACACTAGATAGGAGAGAAACAAGGATAGAGGGGAGAGAGGAATTAGGAAAATCCCCGAATCTAATTTCTGTCTTTCTGTTTAATCTTTGACCATGGCTCCTAGGAAACTGAAACCCCTAAATTACTAACAACCACCAACATCCTATCACAGCCTGATAAGTCTTCAGAATTCCAAACGTCACACAATTGCAGAAACTATCTGCAGCTGGCAAAATCATGCTTCTGCCAGAGCACGAGACAAATCATAGTCAGCTGCCTCAGACAATCCGAAGCAGCCCCACACCCTTACACCTGGGATTAAAATGAAAGCACGTTTTTATAATATTTCTGTGTTTTTAAAGAAACCAACATTCCAAACCTGTCACTACAGGTCATGGACCTACACACATGTACATTCACACACATACACCACACACATATTCATAAATAAAGACATCTGGAATTCTGGAAACTCTTCAAGGCAACAGACTAGCTTTTTCTTCTCTTTGGGTTATTCAACTAGTCCAAAGTTTCAACTATTCAACTATTCAGACAACTCATGCCTGAGAGAACATACTCCCTAAATGTTTGCTTATAGAAAGAGTGAACCGAATAATCCAAGAAACCAGGGAGAGAGGCAAGACCATGGTGGTGCTAGGGTCTTTGCAAAACACATACCCTTATCCCAGCACTAAAACATTCTGCCTGACTCACCTGCCCAGCGTTCCTAAACTTAGATGCCATCGCCCCTGCAACAGCTTGGTCCACGTTGGCACTGTCAAAGACAATGAATGGGGCGAGGCCACCCAGCTCCATGGAGACACGCTTCACGGAATTTGCGGCATGGTGTAGCAGGATCTGCAGGAGTGTGGCAAGAGGAAAACACTGTGAACATTGAAATCAACATCCAGGGTGTTTCTGCCTGCATAGGAAGTCCCTTCCTCCTAAGGCTCAAATATCCAAAGACCGGTCAGCAGCTGGCAACTCCAATGAGAGATGACTAGATCAGGAGTTCATAGCTGGGTAGACTGTTTCCTGGGGGCTGGGTCTAGCTCAGGAAGGTGGTCATGGGGAAATGAGTTTGGAGTTTGGAGGATATATTTGGTCCTGTCCACCGTAAGGGGAGTGGCTCTTTCCCACCAATGCCTCCTGCCGTGTTGCTTCTGCTTTGTTTCAGGGGTAAAAGAAATGATGCCGAGTAACCGTGGACCAAAACTTCCTAAACCAGGAGCTGAAACACCCTCCAATCATCCCCTCATCCTTTAAGTTATTTTTCTCATGAATTTTGCAACAGCAGAAACTAACATATAAGGCTGGTAAGCCTGTTTTACAAAATGCCAGGCACATGTCCTTAATCCCAGAACTCAGGAGGCAGAGGCAGGTGGATCTCTGAGTTCGAGGCCATATTAATTCTTTGAGAATTTCACACATGTGTACAATGTATTCTTTACAGAGTCTTGTTTTGTTAGATTTGATTAAAAAAACAAAACAACAACCCACTAGGAAGGTGGGGAGGGAACTAAAAGCAGTTATTTACAGAAGGGGAGGAGGGACTCAGGGACACTGGGAGCTGGGGCAAGGCCGAAGGTGAACAATGCCAACACTGTCTTGAATTTTGAACCATAATATCAACTCAAAAAATACATGACAGGCCAAGTATGATGGTACATTCCTTTAGTTCTGGAACTTGGCAGGCAGAGGCAAATGGATCTCTGTGAGTTCAAGGCCACCCTGGTCTACATGGCAAGTTCCCGGACAGCCAGGGCTATGTAGACACTATCTCCAATAAAACAAAATAAAAGCATAAAATAGTAGTTGTATACACTGTACATAGAAAGCGTTACAATAACACCTGCATGACTCTGGCAGCACGTACCTTTCCTGTTGCTGTTGAGCCAGTAAAGGAAATTTTGGACACCAATGGATCAGTACATAGTGCCTCTCCCACTTCCTTGGCCTTGGCTCTAGAGCAGGGTATGACATTATAGACTCCTGGAGGGATCCCCGCCTGGTTTGCAAGCTTTAAAGAGAAAGAGCAAACACACCGTAACAAGGAGTGGACTGGAAAACAAATCAAACAGAATCAGAAATAAAGTTCAACCCGGAACACAATGTGAGACACAAGCTTGCCCCGGATCAGAGTAAAAACATACCGAGGAGAACCAGACATGGGATGTGTCTATAACCCAAGCTCTTGGGAGGTAGAGGCAGGAGGGCTCACAAGCTCAAGGTCATCTTCCGTTACGTCGTGAGTTCAAGGCCAGCCTGGGCTCTAGGAGACCCTATGCTCCAAAAAGATATATTACAGGATGGATAGATGACTCCGTGGTTATCAACATGTACGGCTCTTTCAGGGAACATGAGTTTAGTTCCCATCGCCCATAGCTTACCACTCCCCACCTCCAGGCATCCAATTCCCTTTTCTGACTTCAGTATAGACTTCCACTCACGTACACATGCACGCACATACACAATTAAATATATCAAAATTTAAAATATATTAATATCAGCACCGATAAAACTTTATTTCAGTTTTATATATATGTGCACATATGTGTGTGACTATGTGTGTATTTTTATACACACACAAAAATAAATGTAATAAAATTTTTATAAATATTAATATCAGCACTGATAGAAACCGTATTTCCGTTCCATATATATGTATGTACATGTGTGACTATGTATTTATATGTATACACACACATACAAATAACTGTAATAAAAATTAAAAAATATATTAATGTCAGCACTGATAGGAGCCTTATTTTAGTTCCATTATATATGTATTTGTAATGTATGCATATGTATGACTGTGCTTGTGTATATGAATACACACACACACACGTGCTAAAGATAAAACCCATGGTCTCACTCTGCAAAGCATATACTCTATGCCTGAGCTGTACTCCTAACCCTCTAAATAACACCCGAAACTATCACTCTTAAGGTTCACTAAACACAGTATTTTAGGTAGGGGTTTTGGCGCCACCTTCTGTTCAGTCGGCCAACAGTCCTGAGTTTTTCAAGAAAACTGTAGGCTCCAGGGTGGAGGGCGGAAAGGGTGTTTAGAAAGAACTCACAATGCTGCTGGCTGGTTCCTGGTGGGGCAGAGATGAAGAAAGGGAGGAACAGACAGGAGGAACCCGGCAGAGGCGAGGCCCTGGGGAGGACAGAAGTGGCCCCTGACCCCAGCCACCTGGGAACCTGGCCTTTCCCTGGCAGGGCTCTGGGTCAAGTCTGTCCCAAATTTGTTCTATTTTTGACCCAAAGTCTCTATTTGTAGCCCTCACAGGCCTCAAACTGGTAGTCATCCTCCTGCCTCAACCTCTCCAGTGTTGCGATTACTGGTAGTTTGTGGCTGTGGAGAAACACGGTCCCCTAGTCTTCCTGTAAATGATGTCCTAGTATTTGGGATTACTATCTCATTGCCAGTTTTATTCGTTTTAATATTTTGATTAACATACAAAGATATTCTCTTCATATTTATCGTTTTTGTGAGGTTAAAAACCTTACTAACTCAAGTAATCTCAACACTGCAGAGGCTGAGGCAGGAGGATGACCACCAGTTTGAGGCCCTAGAAGAGGTTCAACTAAGCGTAGAAGATAAACCCCAACTATAGGCTGGGTCTACAGATCGAATGAAAGGAGGAAAAGGCAGAATGCTGAGTACCAGCATTCACTTTCTTTTGCCTCCTGACTGCAGACACATTGGCCAGCCATCTCAGGCTCCTTCTGACATGACTTCTGGGCCATAGTGGATTATACCCCTTAAAGCCACAAGCCTCTTCCCATGTATCTGTCAGGTATTCGGTCACAGCAATGAGAAAAGTAGCTCAGACACCTCCAAAGGGCATTGTTGAGCCAAGCGTTTCTTTCTCTCCTTGGCTGTGAGGTGGCCATTTTGCTTTGCCATGCTGCTCTTATCATGGTGTTCTGCTCTACCAAAGGCACAAAGGAGGAGGGGTCATGGCCTGGAACTTCCAAAACCTACGAACGAAACGGACCTTTTGTCTTCATAACAGTGACGGAAAGCTGGCTAACACAGAGGTTCAAGAACACCAGAGAAGCATCAACTAAATACTAGGGGTGTGCAAATCACAGCTCCTTACAGAACTAAGACTGAGCAAAAAGGGAGAAGAGGAGGGTGGAGCAAGCATGTATCGGTTGCAGCCCTGCACATATGCACCTATAACTATTTTGTTATTAGTAACTGAACTAATAACAAAATTAGGAACTGAACCCAGGGCCTCATGCACACTAAGCCGAAACTCTACCACTGAGCTGTATCTCCAGCCCTGGTTTTTACATTTTATTTTGAGATACAGCCACTACCAGTTGTTTTTCTCATTGTTGTGACCAAGTCCTGACAAGAAGTAGTTTGAGGAAGGTGGGTTTGTGTTGGCTACAGTTTAAGCCGAGATGTACTCCATCACGGCAGGAAGGCAAAGCTGCAGGAGTGCAAGTGACGCTGTGTCCACAGGATCAGAGAGCAGCAGACAGGAAGTGCGGCCATGTTAGAAAACCACACCCGATGATACATCTCCTCCATCGAGGCCCTACTTCCTAAAGGTCCCCACAACCTTCTGAAGTAGCTCTGTCAGTTTGGGGCCATGCATTCAAACATGTAAAGTGTGGGGAACACTTTACATTCAAATAAGCACAGTGTCCATCTAAGTTACCCAGACTGGCCTTGAACTTTAGAATCTCCTGCCTCAGCCTCCTGAATAAGCTGGGATACAAAGGCTTGTAAAACCAGGCTAGTGACATTTAAGTGTTACATGAATTCTTTCGCTGGAGGCAGAATCCCAATGGATACAAAGGTTGGTCGACAAAAGAAAAGCATAAAAGTTACAGTGACCATCACAAGACGGTGAAGCCTGAAAACAATTAACGCAGCCTGGTACACGCACACCCTTTAGACAAAGAACAGTAGATGTGTGAAGGAAACGACGGGACCTGTGGATCTCTGGATCGGACAGCGTGTTCTAGGGATGTTACAGAGAGACAAATGACTGAGAGGCTACAAAGGCCGATACTTTCCCGGAGAGATTATTCTGGCTTGCTGCTGTCTCATGCTCCGGTCTCTTTGAGGTGCGTGTCCCTCACTTTGCTGATAGCAGGAGAGGCTGAGGACGTGCTAGAGCCCTTCATTAATTCTGTAAGGGTAGAGCATAAAGACACGGAAAGGGCTGCTGGGGTGCTCAGTGGGTATGGTGCTTGCTGTACAAGCCTGGAGGCCTGAGGAGGGCCCACATAGAGGTGGAAGGGGAGGATGGACTCCACAAAGCTGCCCTTTGACCTCCACGTGAGTGCTGTATTACACATGTCTACCCTCTCATCGTGTACACGTACACAATAATAATAAAACAAACATTTAAAAAAATACACGATGAAGCAAGTCATGGGAGCATCTGGGTAAGAGGGTTCAGGGAGAAAAAGTTCGTTCAATACCTGAGTTGAGGGTGAGGTTGAAGGGATATGAGGGTGGCAGGGGCCGAAGTGGCTCGAACAAAAGAATGAAGGGCGCTGACGTGAAGGTAAGTCAGTGAGTGCTGGGGTTTGGTAGGTGTATGGAGCCTTGAAGGCTAGTGCAGCAAATCTGCATTTTACTCCAAGTGACACGAGAAGCCATCCGAGAGTTTCAGGCAGAAAAGTAAAAAGATTTGACTGAATACAGATTGAACCAGGATCAGGTGTGGTGAATAAGAAAGCTTGGGGCTGGGGAGATGGCTCAGTGGTTCAAAGCACTGGCTGCCTTTCCTGAAGACCTAAATTGGGTTCTTAGCACCCACGTCAGATGGCTCAGGACCACCTGTAACTCCGCCTCCAGGGAGGCCAACGCCTTCTTCTGGCCTCTGCAGGCACTGCACAAACATGCACAAACATGACATATACTCACATAGAACACAGACATGCACGTAACAAAAATGATTATTTTTTAAAAACCTCCTAAATGTGAGAGAAACACCCATATTTTTAATGCAATGCAAAATAATGGATCAATATCACTTTTAGGGTATCAAATGTGACCAGCATTTTTTTTTTTTTTTTTTCCTGCTGAAGAGTGCAGGAAATGTGACATAGAACAGCTGCTATCGGACAAAGACAGATGCTCTCACTCACACAGCAGGAGACACAGACAGAGAAGGAAATTCCAAAAATGTTTCTTCCTGTCCTTGGGAAGCATTCATTTGGGCACATGCTTGGTTCTGCACAAACAGAGAAACTCACCTGAGCCAGGGCCAGGGCGGAGTAGGGCGTGTCTTCAGCTGGTTTCACCACCACAGTGCAGCCGGCTGCCAGGGCGGCCCCCACTTTCCGGGTGATCATGGCGCTAGGAAAATTCCACTGGAAGAGTCGGGGAAGGATGTTGAGTGTGTCGGCCGCCTCAGGATCCAAGACAAGGCAGGGCAGAGCCAGTCACCATTCCATTGCCCAACTGACTGGCAAACCTGTTTGCTGCTATGCGGGTGAGCTCTCATAATACCTGACCCTGGTCAGCTTGAGGGACTCTGGAGGCCAGAGTTCACAGAGGCAGGCTATAGTCTGGGAGTTTGATGCAGGACAAAACTATCTAGACCAATGTATTCTGTGAGGGCCACAGGTTGTATAGTTCTGTCACATCTCTGCACGCGGCAGTTGCCTCAGAGAAACTGGCTCACAAATGGACCCCAGGTGTACTAATAAAACTTTATTTATAAACACAAAGACTGAGCTAGATTTGGCCTGTGACTCTTTAAGTAAAATATTGCTGACGTGACTTTAAAAATGGCTGATGATTTACTTCCTTTCACACAATATTTATAGGGGATAAGAAACTGATATCAACAAATCTATAATAGAATAGAATAGAAATAAACAAATATATTTATTTAATAATGGTACAAATAAAAAAAAGTAAATGCCTATTAAAATTGACAAAATTTCAAAGGTCTTTCCAGAGGCGCTAGGCAACACCAGGATGGAGTCTCCATGCTAGGTCAGAAAAGCCAGTGTAAGGTCATCCTGTTTTTTAATGCATCAGGAAACATGACTTGTTTCCCACTGCACCTGACGCTGGGAATGTGGAAACAAACCTCTACATCCAGAAAAGGAATCAGGAAATCAGGTGGCAACGCTAGTGAGATGGGCACACCTGTCCATCAGGAAGAAGAGACTGCTTCCTGCCGCCCTACCCAGGCTCCCACCCTGGCACTGTGCCAAGCTTGTTACCTACCGGGGTGATGATTGCAGCCACCCCGATGGGCTGCTTGAGGACCAGCCCTCGCTTATCTTTGGCAGAGGTATAGATGATGTCTCCGTAAACACGGCGAGCTTCCTCGGAGAACCATTCTAGGAAAAGGGCTGAATACAGAACTTCTCCCTGGGCTTCTTTTAGTGGCTTTCCCTAAATCAAATCAGAAAAGGTCATGTGCATTGCCCTCTAGTAATCATCCATCATCATCATCATCATCATCATCATCATCATCATCATCATCACAACTCTGTGTTTCTAAGCTATTCAAAGTGGTAAAAACAACAGGGGAGGGGACAGGGAGAAAAAGCTATGCATTGCAAAGCTCAGAGGTTGCTGAGAAACGACTAACTCTGGTGTGAGTCTTAGGGATTGGAATGACGGGATAAATGTTCACAGCTTAAGGGTGGACACAGAGCACTGCGTAATCTAAGGCTTCCCGAATTGAGTCACTGTGTGAAATCTCTTACTCTGTGAATGAACAAATAGTGCAGTTTACAAACTCAAAAATAACGAGAAAATAAAAACAGGCTACCAGAAGAAAATAACTGGGCCACAGCAGCTGAAGTTAACTGCACTGAAGTTAAGCGGGTTAAGGTTCCAACACTAGGGGGCATAAGCCTCCATGGCTAGCTGAGGAGATCAAAGCAGTTGATGGCTGCTGGCGGACCGGGAGTAATTTTTATGTGAAGTGGGGACCACCGTAGGTTGCCCAGGCTCCAGTGCCTGGCTGCACACCCACTGACTAGCAGTAGCCGGACTAAAGGTAGTTAAAAGTGAAATACAGGACATGGAGTTGGGAGGAGACATGTTGAGGGTGTCCAAGGGAAGTTGGAATGGGGGAAGAAGGAGACTAAATAAATAAATATATAGTGAATAAATATATATTGTATACATGTAGGAAATTCAACAAATAATTGGGCAATATCATATTTTAAAAAAGAAAAAAATAAACTAGCTCAGCAGTTAAGGGCACTGGCTATTCTTCCACAGGTTCTGGGTTTGATTCCCAGCACACACGTGGTGGCTAATAACCATCTATAACTCCAGGACAGCCAAGGCTGCACAGAGAAACCCAGTCTTGAGAAAACAAAACAACAACAACAAAAAATACACAATCCCTCCCAAAACCAAAACCAAACCAAACCAAAAAACAAACAAAAAACCCCAACCAACCAAACAAGAAGAGTAGTGCATGGTCTCAACTGCTGAGCCATCTCTTCAGCCCCTCAAATCTAGTTTTTTCAAATTAGCAACAAATATGCTAGGGCACATAAATCTTGTTTTAGCAAATGTGTTCTCTGAGCACCATGATGACTCAATCCCTCGTCATCAAAAGATCCCATGTTCTTAAGCTGCAGTCAGCAGTCAGGGGAAGCCAGGCGCTCTCCCAAGCTCTGGTCTAACCACTCCAGGACTCTTCCTCACAGCAGCAAGTCAAGATCTTGAACTCACGCTCTCCGCTGTTATGATCTTGGCAAGGTCGTCCTTATTTTGCATCATTAAGTCATACCATTTACGAAGTAATGAACTCCTCTCCTGGAAGGGAAATGAGGCAGGGAAGCAATCAACTGGGAAACGCAAAAAGGATGGCTCAACAACCTTTACCCTCCCCCCACTTCTCCAAAGCACCAGCTACGTGTGCAGCCTCACACTTTGTGGAATAGTTCACCTCAAGTGCCGGCATCACCAGGCTGCAGGATGCCCCAGTAGCTGGAAAACATCTTTGGGTCTGTCTATGGGGGATTTTTCCAGAAGAGATTAGCATCTGGCAGGAAAAGGTAGTGAGGGAAGGGGATGAATTGGAGCAGGGTATAATGACACACATGTATGAAGTAGTCACCATGAAACCGAGGAGGAAGCTGAGGCAGGAGGATTGCTGGGCCCAGAAGTTTGAGGCAAGCCTGTATCAATTCAATGATGGATATATACCTGAGGATGATCTTCTGGTCGTCCTGCCTCTACCTCCTGAGTGCCAGAATTTTTGATGTGTGCCGCAGCACAGTTTATGGGGACCTGGGGGTCGAACCCAGGGATTCATGCACACTTGGCAAGCTCTCTACCACATAAGCCACATCCCAAGTCCAGGAAGACTATCAGACCTCCTCTCATTTGCCTGAACAACTTGTCCAATACAATAAGCAAACCCAGCATGTCATTCCGGCATTGTAATGCATTCAGTACTCTAAATTTTTACTTGTACAATCTAATTCCCCTTGTGGACAGAGAGCCTGTGTGTACACACGACACTGTTGACTCTAGAGAGTGTTCCTTTCCTATTCTGGACAGGCTGACAAGCTTCATCGCCTGGAGGATTTTGCTAAGGATAAGCCTTCAGGAGAAGATAGGTATCAGCCCTGCCTTGAAAGTACCTTACCACTGTTCTGCACCTTACCTGTTCTCATCTCAAAAAGCACCAAGTGTTCTTTCACCCAGATGAGAGAGAGCACATTAAAACCCAGGAGGCCTGGCTCTAAGAACTGAATATAAATGTGTCTATGGGCTGGAGATGTGGCTTAGTTGGTAAAGTGCTTGCCCGGCACACATGAAGCCCTGGGTTCCATCCCCAATTCAGCATAAATGTGGGCATGGTGGAGCATGACTAATCCAGGCACTGGGAGTGTAGGCAGGAGGATCAGAAGTTCAAGGGCATCACTGACTACATACCAATTTGATTCCAGCCAGGGCTACATAGGACCCTGTCTCAGGTCAAAAGTGACAGGGGCCTTTTATGTTCTGTGAATGGGTTACCATGTTTAGTGTGAGAAAGAATGAGAGCACATAAAATAGCAGGACTCTAGAAAGAAAAAGTAAGATTTGGGGCTGGAGTAATAGTTCAACAGTTAAAGCCAAATACTGTTCTTGAAAGAGACCAAAATTACATTCCCAGTTACTATGCCAGGTGGCTTACAACTGCCTGTAGTTCTACTGAGGCCTCTAGCCTCTGGGGGCACTGGCACTCACAAAGGCACATGTATGCACATATACATACACAGACACGATACACATGATTGGAAAAAAAAAAGATATTTTTAAGTAAGATTCTGCCTTTGGGTAGAAAAACGCAATACCCAGGTTGAATTTCCATAAGCCAGGGAAAGTCATGAATAGTCCTCATACTCAAAGCCCTAAGCATGCAGAGGATGTGATGGACTGTGTCCACCTCAAGTAGGTAATCCCAGATTCTCAGAACGCTACCTTATCTGGAGACAGGGTCCAAAGCCAGCTTGTCTACATTATGAGTGCCAGGCCAGGCAGGAATACGTGTGTGTGTGTGTGTGTGTGTGTGTGTGTGTGTGTGTATGTGTATGTATGTTGTGTTTGACATAGACAAACACAAACATTGTCATGGACACCAAAACACATCCAGAGAAGGCCACCCAAGGGATACAAGGAAACAGTCATCTAGAAACCATGTAGAAAGGTCTGCAATGAGTCCTGCCCTCATAGTCTTCAGAAGAAGCTGCTCCTGGAACACTTCGATTTTAGACATCTGGACTTTAGCTCTAAAAGAGGGCAGTTCTGTGTGTTAAGCTATCCCTTGACAGCATCTTGTCACAGCAGCTGTGGAGGGAGGACAGAGATTACCCTCTGTCTATGATGAAAGTGCTCCTAATACAAGTAGCCTTCTGAGCAGCCTAGCTCAGCAAAAGTCAGGACCTGACTGCTTCCTCTCATTGCACAGCAGGCAGGGAGCTGCGGCTTGCTATTGTGGCCCAGCATCAAGAGGATGACGGGTGACCCCACTGCACCTAGCCAGCCCAAGAACAGATCAAAAGCCTCAATTCCATGAGTACCTTCCACTGAATATGTACCGGTCTCAAATTGTCATAAAGTGGTACAATCCGAACTTGACAAGTAAGTTGAAGATGGCCTGTCTGCCCCAACTATGGTGCTGTGTGGACACGAAAAACTCAGATAGGGCCTCAGAAACCCTATCATGGTGGTGACACGTAGCTCTCACCCCAGCTCCTCAGCTAGACCCACCCAGTCTCTTCATCCACAGCATGACTCATGCTCACCTCCCAGGATTTTCAAAAGACCAAACACATCACCTGGGAAGCACTGGAAATAGCACTTAGCCTTCAAAGCTATCCACAGTCTTACTCCCTGAGGTTGTGACTTGCGCCTTAGATGGCAAAAGGGACTTTGCTAATGTGATCACGAAGGAAGTGGAGGCTATTCCGAATCGCCAGGTGGGCCCAATACAAACATAAGAGTGACTGTAATAGGATAGAGTCAGAAGACCCGATGCCACCAGAAAACCAAATGTCAGAGGTACGAAAGGTCACGGGTCAAGGCACATGGGAAACTTTAGGACCTGGAAAAGCCAGGGGAACAAACTGTGCCCTAGAACTTGTAGGAAGAACAAAACCTGGGCCATGGTGGCACACTCCTTTAATCCCAGCAATCAGGAGGCAGAGGCAGGCTGATCTCTCTGAGTTAAAGGCCAGTCTGATCTACATAGTGAGTTCTAGTTCAGCCAAGATTACACAGTGAAACCTGTCTCAAAAAACCAAACCAAACCAAACTAAAACATCAAAACAAAGTTGCACTTATAGGTGATAATATCAAACACCTTTTAAATTGCAAAGTAAATATATAAACCTTACATAACGTTCTTTCTCTTTCCAGATTATCAAATGTGGTAGTTTACCTGACATTTTTTTTTTTTGATGCCTGGGAATTTTTGGACAAACATAAACATTGCCAGTGTACATGGGATACAAAAGTAAATAACAATCTTAGGCTCAACCCACTTCCGGTTCTGTTCTCTGCTTCTCTGCTTCTTGGTCTAGTGGTCACATGTGGAGAGCTGCCAAGCGGTCTAGCCACCACGCTTTCCCACCATAATAACCCAAACCCCCCTGGACAGTGAGCCAAATTCAGTTCTTCCTCCTTTAAGCTGCTTCTGTCTGGCTGACACACATCCTCTAGTTTACAAGGTGGGAAAAGGTCATGAACACATGAAAGGAAAGATGTGAGGCATATGGACCAGTTCGGCTGCATCAGAGAAAGGAGAAAACAGAAGGCTGGGTTACTGACAAGCCCAGAGGCAGATGTTACACAGCAGCTAGACCTTAAAGAGCATGTAGACTGGGGCGGTGGGAGGTGAATGGGCCTTAGGGAAGGAAAGTGAGTTCACACTCAGGGCGAGTCAGCCACTGCAGACTCAGGGAAGAGGAGGGTGAGTCTCATTCCTGACTTGGTGCCCACTATTTCCTTCAGGCAATACTTCTGCCAAACTTCTCCCTCAGTGCCGTCCCAGCACCGAGGAATGCCTTCCTCAAGAAGGAGGTTCCACTAAAAAGTCCCAGGCTCTTGAAATCTCGGAGCTGAAACACGTCCATGCGTTAGGACGGAGGCCATGGGTGGATGACAGGATGATGTTGCCAATTTCAGAGGGGCCCCAACGCCAGATAGTCAGTTGCCAAAATACCAACAGGACTAGAAAAGTTCCCTGCACAGTGGCAGCCCTTGATCTTGGAGAGCCACTGTGAGTCTGTAAAATGTTGCAAAAGTATCAAAGGATCAGGCCTGCCCCACTCCCCTCCCTTCATGCCCATAGCTGAGTACCCAGGCAGCCCCTGCACATGTGACTTTAATATTTGTCTCTCTAGCCCAGGCTCACTTTCAAACTCCAGCCGATCTATCCAGCCCCCTACCTGAGGTCTATAGGACAGTCCATCACCTCAGAGGCACGGGTCCTGAGCTAGGCTCTAACATCTTACCCAACACTGCTCCACTTTCGTCTTTCCCCAGCAGTGAGTGGCGACTTTGCCTGCTCAGACCAAAAATGCTGAGGCCATCATTGTTATGGTTTGAGTGTGTCCCTAACTCCCCAACCCCAGGTTCCTGTGCTGGAGGCCTAGTCTTCGGTGTGATGCTGAGAAAAGGCAGCACCTACTCGGTGGTCTTTAGAAGGGATTAAAGTAGTATGCATATAACCATGAGTTAGACAGATGGTTAATATTTGGTTATTATTATAATATTTGGTATATTATTATAATAATATACCATTATTAAAGGGAATGTATGTGCCACACAGCATGTATGGAGGACAGGGGACAACTCTGAGGAGTTGGTTCTCTCTCTCTTTTCTGTGAGTTCTGAGGGATTGATCTCCAATCACCAGGTGTGTACAGCAACTACCTTTACCTACTGAGCTATCTTGATGGCACCTGGAGTTAGTTTGTCCAGGAGTGGGTTGTTATAAAAGCAAGCTCTAACACAGTCTCCAGTTTTCTGTCTGGACATATGTCCAGGCATGCCCCCACCATGATGACATCCATCATCAAGGGCTCTGCCAGAGGCCAAATCCATGAGGACCAGTGGGTATTGGACTTTGTGTATGTGCGTGAATCAAGAACTGGTTCAACTTGTTGTTCTCACTTTTTTTATTAATTAGAACTACAAATTTAAACAGTAAAATCTTAAAAATAGTTTTATCCATTCTTTGAGAATTTCATGTGGTATATTTTGATTGTATTGTCCCAGATCCACCCTGCTTTCCCTACCCACCCAACTTTGTGTCCTCT